AGCGTTTATTACGGTCGAAGTGATGGTAGTGCCATGAGAAGCGACCGAACATTCATTCAATTGGATTGATTTGACACCTTCTCATATAGTATAATAATTTTAAGTAATTATAACATTTCGAATCATCGAAACTTTGCACATACAAAAAATAATGACGGTCATTATTACAGAAACTAGACAAGGTGATACAAAAGCATAGCTCGTCTTTCTCTATCAACATATTTTGTCTCTGTTAGTATCCAGCTACAACTTCTATTTACTGAATTCATATATGCTCATATCGGCTTGCGTAAATCACAATATCTTGGTGAAGTCCTCTATCTTTCCGTTCGGTATTACTTATCTTGCAGATACAACTCTAAAAATAATATGATGCCAGTAACAAACCATGATAAGTTTGTGATCAATGCTATTTTTAATCCAAACTATCCGCTTGATTTTGACGGAGTTTCACAAGCGGACACTTCAGTATCGTCACAAATAGAGAGTAAGGGCTTTCTTTTTACATCCATAATAGTGTTGCTTTTTTCGGTACATTTGTCGTCCAGAACAGGTAATAGAACTAAAACTATTGGAAGCAGAAGGTAATTCTTAAATATTCATTGAATATGAATTTATTAAGTCGTGTATGCCTGCGTGTTGTAGGAGTTCGACTCGCCGAACACAATTATCTTACTGAGGCTATCGAATGTTTCACTCGAGCAATTGAAATCAATCCACAACAACCATCGCCGTACAACAACAGAGCCCAAGCTTTTCAGCTTCAAAATCGTACGAATGGTAAACTCGTTATTTTTATTTTCTTCATTTTCATTATACTTTTGCAGAAGCTAACGTGGACCTGAGCACTGCTATTGAACTGGCTTCCAGTGATAACAGTCATCAAAAAGTCCTATGTCTTGCACTTACTCAGCGTGGCATTCTCAACCGATTCTTAGGTAAAATATATCATTACTATTTCTGTCATTGCAGATTTGTTTTCATGTAGGCAAAAATGAAGCATCACTTGAAGATTTTCAGCGAGCTGCTGAACTTGGTTCACCGTTTGCCAAACAGCAAGTTCTTCTAACCAATCCTTATGCTGCCGCTTGCAATGAAATGCTCGCTAAAATGTTTAAACAAGCATCGGGCGCTCAATAACACATTTCATTTAAATTCAGTCCATCGCTGACCATGTCTTGTCATTTTTACAAATGCATGCCCTTCTTCTCTCAATCCGATCCATTCTACATACACAATGATTGATATCAACATAAAATATTCGATCGATGATCATCGATTAGGATTTTTTCTTTATCTTACAGAGACAAGTGTTTGATGAATTTTTGCACAAGCCTTTTGAAAAAAATGATTCTATTCTTGAGATATTTAAAGTTTCTTAAGAGTACTTGTCAAAAAAGGATATTGTCCATACCCAGGTGAATAAATCCGACAACGGAATCTATCGGATCTGATCGGATCCGATTATCCGATGAAATCCGATAGGGTTCCGGGAAATGAATCCATTAACGGATCCGACGAAAAAAAAACTATTCAATTAATTAAGCACCAATAACTAATTAGTAGCAATATTAGAGATCAGTCAAAGCGGGACGTCGGATTCCGTTGAATTCCGATAGTAGGTTCCTATTGGATTCCAACACAGCGGCTCCGTTGGTCGATTCGTTTCCCTGATTCCGTTGGATTGACGGAAATTCATATAAAATCCGATCGGATTCCTGTCGGATCTGAGTCGGCCCTATTGTCGGATTGAATGTCCTGGGTACATAGTGGCTCCAAATTTTCAATTTCGTCTCGACTCTGTAAAAATTACATTCTTTCAAACAGCAGGAAATACTGACGACAGTCAACTTATTTTCTCGAAGAGATACTCCTAATTCCCTAGCGACATTTTTCAAAAATAGGTTTTCTAGCAGAAATAGCTAGGGTCAATCTTTCTCTCTGATCAGGTAGCATATTCAGGTGCCAAATCACTTTTGGATCGAGTATGTGCGCAAACAATATAACTCACTGCGTAATTAAATGCCCTTGAATGGTTTGGCTTTCTAGCCTTCTGTTGTAGAATTAGGAGTAGGGGTGGACCATTTAATTTAATTCGAGTTAATTAACGGCGTTAATTAACTAAAAGCGTTAACCGTTAATATTAACGAATTAACGCTTCTAGCAAAACCGTTAACCGTTAATATTAACGG